AGAAATGATGATCACCTTTAGCTTTTTATAAGACTGATAACGATGGATATCTGTTATATAACCTGTGAATCTGTAAGTTGTGGCAATACTTAATCCAGTTGGCTAGTAATCACCAACATCGTTTCCTCGCTACCTTAGCATCTGAGAATCAGTATTTTTTGAAAACATGTATGTGCGTTCATTAGAGGTCCTTGTGGCGCGGTGGTTAAGCGTTTGGTTGCTAAACACAAAGTTGGTTGGTTGGTCCCATCTAGCACCTCTATGGGAGAAAGACTAGCAATCTGCTTCTGGAAAGAGAGCGCCCTCGGCAGCATTTCTGCTCCATCCAGAGCAGCTGCGGGGGTTGCTGTGAGTCAGGAGACTCCGGGGCCCTCATACCCACACGCACACGCATGCATTCTTGGACTTGCCTTTTTTTTTTTTTAATTGTTTTATTAGGGGCTCATGCAACTCTTATCACAATCCATACATACATCAATTGTGTAAAGCACATTTGTATATTCATTACCCTCGTCATTCTCAAAACATTTGTTCTCCACTTAAGCCCCCGGCATCAGGTCCTCATTTTTCCCCTCCCTCCCTGATCCCCTCTCCCTCATGAGCCCTTGATAATTTATAAATTATTATTTTGTCATATCTTGCGCTGTCCGACATCTCCCCTCACCCACTTTTCTGTTGTCCGTCCCCCAGGGAGGAGGTCACATATAGATCCTTGTAATCGGTTCCCTCTTAACCAAGCCACTCTTCCTCTACCCTTCCAGTAGCCACTCACACCACTGGTCCTGAAGGAATCATCCGCCCTGGATTGCCTGTGTTCTTCTACTTGCTTCTATGATTTAGCATAACACTATCTGGTGTCCCTGGGCCGTGCAAACACACTCTGCTGCTAACCGAAAGATGGGAGCTGTTCGTTACCTCAGAGACCCCTCAGAAGAAAGGCCTGGTGATCGATTTCAGGAACACCCGGCCCCCTCCCTCCCGTGGACCGCTTTCGATTCTGACACACAGGGTCACCCTGACTCCATCGACTCCGTCCACGTGATGGCAGCTTGCTTGGCAAACCCTTAGCGAATCTGATTTGAATGGTTGCAGCCACCTTCCAAGGTCATTGTCATCTACTCCAAGTCGATGAGGTCAACAGAATGTATGTCTATGATGAGTCCCAGGAAACTGGGATGGAGAAATCAGACATGTTTGGGCAGCACCATCTGGAGGCTTGCTTCCTGAGCTGAAAAATAAGATATTTGTCTAAGGTTTGCTGAGAAGCTGCAGGGCACTGAAACAGAAGTGAAGCAATGGACGGTGCCGGGTCTCCTTTGGACAGGCCCGTGCTCGTTTCTCTTGTTGCTAACCACCAAGCCATTGGTTCAGACCCACTATTCATTCGGTGGGGGAGAGCTGCATCTGTGCCCACAAAGATGTGTAGCCTTGGAAAGCATCTATAGGCTCGCTGTGAGAGTAGTGTTAGTTACTGTGGATCAGGGAGGAGGAGAGGGAGTGCTACCTGACCTTAACATGAGCCTTTTGATGATCTTGGGCATCTGGACTAATAGGCCAGCTCAAAAAGAGGAGGAATGGTGTCCAGCAATATTGTCCAAAAGACACACAGCCTTTGGCTGCCAGCAGAGCAGGGCAGGTAACCCACCTATTAGACCTCCATGACTTGGCTTGAAGAAAGCTCACCAGGCATTGATGACAAGACTGGACTCTTAATCTTGGAAGTACCATCCAGAAGACACCGCCCTGTAGGACAGCAGACATGGGGAGTTAAAAGTGGATGCGGTCAGTTTGCAGGAGAGGGTCCTGCTATACCAGATTCTGTGCCCAGAACAGGAAGTTGCTATCTGGGTTAGCAGATCACACCACTAAGGAACGCAAACCCAGAGTGTGTGCTCCCGGTTGGAATAAGTCTTGGATTTTTCACTGGAGATTATTACAGTTAAAGGGTTCAAATTAAAGGGAGACCTTTGGTTTCAGTGTTAAGTCCTTCCCACCCCCACCCTTCCTTTTTACATGTAAAGGTTGGAGTTGGAATAATGGAAAAATATTTTAGGAGAGGCACACGAGGGTTTCAGATATGCACTTACGTTTGAAACACTGTTAAACTATTGAGTGAATTCTCTCGTGCGGGCTTTTCCACATTGCAAGTGACCTTGTATATATTTTGCAGTTTGAATTTTTTTCTCCTCCCTTCCTCCCCTGCAGAGGTGTATGGTTTTCAGATAGGTTAGGTCACAGGTTGTAATTATAGGCTGGTGTGAAATGCTGGTCCTTAACAGAAGTTCTGCCCACTAGACCCCTTGTTCAACATAAGCAGTGGGCAGCAGAGCTCATTGGAAGTCACTCTATTTACCCCTTTTCATCTAAGGGGGTGTATGCTTAGTCGAGTTTAGCTGTGAAATACTTTTTCTCAGGCATAACACTGCAACATTCGGTTTTCACATTTTCATCCCAGATGGCCACTGCTATCTTTAAATTGATTTAAAACGCCTATCCTTTTCATTGGAGCTAGCCCATTAATTCAGAATCTGCACCCTTCTACCATCTGGTTGCCCCTTTACTGGCTGTACTTGGAGGCAGCATTCCCTAAGTTGTGCGCTGCAGAGTTTCAAAGGGCTGGACTCCAAATCCCCTTCGGTATTCTATTGCTTTGGGCTTAGAGATAGAGGCTTAGGCCACTGGCACCAGCTGTGCTGTGAGTATGATGAGCTACTTTTCTATGATGGCACAGTGGGGTATGTATCGGGCTGTGCCAGCTGCTCCATGGTGGTAGTGAGAATTGAGTCTAAGAGAGGAACCAATCAAGTACTACTCATGTCCATAGCAACTTGGTTAAAGATGCCTTGGTTGGCGTATAACAAACACTGGGTTTGCCAGTTTGAAGCTTATCAAGCTTCACCTTTAACCTCTCTGAGGTGGTTAACTCCATCTGTCAACTTGGCCATTGCAATATGTATGGTGGAAGATCATTAGATGACTTCAGTCAACATAATGCCCTGGAGGACACAGGTACACTCTGAAGGAGCTCCTTTCGGGATGCTATACCAGGCAGTGGCCTAAGGAAATCTGACTGGGGCAAATGAACCTTTTGGTTAAGGATACAGCTTCATCTAGATTCTAGAAGAACACCTGGAAATAGGAAGACAGGGGCCTGGCTACCCAGCGCATCAGTCTGTAACAACTTCCTTGGTGGCTTATGGAGGTAGGGGTCGCCACTGGTAAGGAATTGGAATCCTCAGCCAAGACCCGAGTTTAGATGCCAACAAGAGTTCTTCCAGAAAAAAATGTCATTTTTGTTGTAAACATGAAGGAGAGAGAAGAAAGCAATCTTCTGGATATACATTTAAAATTGTGTCCAGTTGGTTATTCCCATCCTATTTAGTCTTTTTTTTCTTGTGTCAAATCATATTTATCTCCTTTTTTTTTTTTAATTACACAGCCTTTAAGATAATGCTAGAGAATCCAGAAAGGGGAATAATTTTTTAATCAAAATTTATGAATTTCCCTTATAATATTTTCATGATAGTCCGACTTGAATTATCCTTCTCTATGTGATTAAAGTAGGACTTGATTTTTCTGTGGGGTGTTTAACATTTTGGGTCATGATAGTACGCGTGATGAATTAATACATCTTCTCTGAGCGAACTGTCAAGACTGAGCCCCTCTAGGTTTGATACATAATTTAAAATGCCAGCGAACTTGCTCAGAAGTCCACAGAGTGCTCCAGGGTCCCCTCTACAATGCTACTCAATGACTGAAAATATTTACCCGTGTGTCAGGAACACAGGGCGGCAGCAAACCCCTGACAACCAGGAGTGCGTCGCCACTCACCTCCGTCAGGTGTCTTGTGTTCTTGGCCTTGTAGTTTGATGTGATATGCATAGATTGTCTGCTGCCGGGCATGTTGTTTTCAGTGTCTTCCTGGTGGCAGCCCTCACTCTGTGGGCAGTGCAGTCCCAGGATTAATGTTTTTCAAGACTTCCAAGAGAGGAGCGAGTCTGAACTAATACCCATGTGCTCGCTACCCTTCCTCCCTAAATAGGCTCCCAGGCTGGCGCTGTTTCCACTTGGCATCTTCCCTTTGGCTTTTGTCAGGCTGTGAGGAGTGTGGGTAGGGGCTCCTGCCACATTGCCAGCTGTCCCCTCCCTCCCCACCTCTTCCCAGCACTGATGCGTACATATTGATTCTCTCTGACCTGTGCTTCATAGCCATGGTGGAGAATGGAAAGTGTAGACGACATGTTCCAAACGCTGTCATCTACCATTCTCTTTTCAGGAAGGGTGGTGGTGGTGGATTTCACTCAACGCCACCCTGGTAGTTAAAAAGCTTTTTGTACTATAGCCAGGAATCTAGGATAATGTTTTTTAGATGCCTATACTTTATCCTGGATTATGGGTTATTGTACAAAAGGTTCTTAATTGCTAGGGTAGGAGACATCCTGGCGTAGTGGGTTGTGTGTTGGGGTGCTAACCCTGAGTCAGAATCGATTAGATGGCCGTGAGTTTGGATTGTTGGTTTGGATCTGCTTTTACCACCCCCGGAAGGTGGTACTGTCAACTTTGGGAAGCACTGATATAGGAGGATTAGCTATAGGAGAGAGAGAGAGTGTGTGTTTGTGCACGTGTATACACATAGTCTTGAGGTGTCTGTATACACAAAAGAAGCCTCGGTGGTGCAGTGGGCTAAAGTGTTGGACCGCTAACCAAAAGGTTAGCAGTTTGCATGTCCCCAACTGATCCGTGTGAGAAAGAGAAGGTTTTCTGTTTCCATAAAAATGGAGAGCCTCAGAAACAGAGTAATTCTGCTCTGCCCTATGAGGTTGCTATGAGCAGGAACCCACTGGCCGCAGTGGTTTCTACACAAAGCCCTTGGAGGGTGGGGGACGAGGAGCAGGAGGAGTGGGTTAGTTGGGAAATGCTGGGAGCAGGCAAATAGATCTTAAATAGATACTTGCCATCAAAGCAGCAATTCTAACAGGCTTTTTTCTGTTTCTTTCTAGATTTCCTTTGCTCATTTTACGCACGTTGTTTCCAAGATCATAACTGCTGAGATTTCAGTTGGCTTTGAGAATTCTGAGAATACCTGCAGCTTCAGAGGGGCGATCAGCTGAAAACAATCTGTTTGAAGCATCTGGCGTCTCGCCCCTCACCTCTAACTGCGTGCCAAAGGTAAGGCTACAGTTCCCTGCTTATCACAGGTCTGAGAAGTTACTGTTGCTGCCCCTGATGCTTCCTGCGGCACAGAAGGTTCTAGACTATGGAAATGCCAACAAATTCGGCATTGTTTTGTGGAGCCACGGGAAACTGAAGCTTTCAGAGGACCCGGTTGGAAACGAGATGATTGTTTTGCCTGTATTAGCATGTGATGGTTTTGAGTATGAAAACTGGGAAGCGTGGTAGAAACCTGCAGCCCACAGGGTGCTGTTGTGCTTCAGTTTATCCAGCTCAACAGATAGTCCTTGAATATGGACTGTGTTGGGCCACCTGTGTATTATCATGGGGTTGGAAGTACGGAGATGAAATCGGAATCCGTAATCTCAGCCTTGTAAAAGGTTTGATTCCGACTACGATGTCAAGAAGATAAATCTACATCATAAGAGATGGAAAGAGAGGATTCTTAGGGAAGGTTTATCTGAGATGTGAGCACTCGGTTGGTGTGTGGTTTGTTTGTTTTTAATTAACCAGTAGTGGGCCAAAGTAGGTCTCTACATAACAGTGCTGTTTCTGAGCCTTAACACATAGCTTGAAACACTGGTTTTGGAACATGTGGGCTGCAATGTACTGGTCTGGTTCCTGTGGTGTTCCATCTCGGACAGACGGTGTTGTTAGTGCCATCGAGGCGATTCCAACTCTTAGCGACTGTGTCCAACAGAATGAAACGCTGCCTGATCTGCATCATCGTCACAATCGTTGGTATGTTTGATTGCAGCTGTTGTGGCAGTCCATCTTGTTAGGGTCTTCATTGACCCCCTGCCAACCAAACATGATGTTATTAAGGGGACTCCCCAGTTGTATTGAGCACCTTCCAACCTGAGGGGCGTGTGTTCGACACTGTATCAGACAGTGTTCTGCTATTAATGAGGTTTTTAGCGGCTTATTCTTCAAAAGTGGACAACTGATTCCTTCTTCCTAGTCTGTCTTAGTCTGGAAGCTCCACTGATATTTGTTCACCATGGGTATCCCTGTTGGTGTTTGAAACACTGATGGCATAAAATCTAGCAGCACCTCAACAAGGCAGCCACCACAGTGTGACAGACTGACAGCAGAGGGTGGCTTACAGACAATAGGATGTGTTTTATAAAAATGTGCATTTTTACCTTCATGGGGCTGCCTCAAAACTGTAGGGATAACACTCAAGATGTTAGCTCTCCTTAAAATTTTATTCTGCTCTATTTGTCTCAAATGGTTTTTAGCTATTCTTAAAACTTTAATCTTAGACAAATCTTTTTGGTATAATAATTTTTGTAACATACTGCATTAATATGTTAGGATTTCCTCTTATTTGGTTTAAAACTGACACCGAAAGCGTTGTGAATGTATTCTCTTTCCTTGATCAATTAAGAAAAAAAAGTTTCCTGTGTCCCTCTCCATTATCCTCTCTCATGTGGTAGCTACAGTGGCAGAGATTTAATATGTAGTATTTCCTAAGGGTGGATTAAGTGTCTCAATGTTTTCCTCTTATTTTGCCTATGATTTCTACAAAGGGATCTGCCTTTAATGATTTTTTTGAGGACAATGACACACTGTCCCGTGGGCCTAGAGTATCGTTCATGATGGTTTTCCTATCTAGTTTCAAGGTAAAATGGGGAACACAGAGTTCATATCGTGTAGTTTGATTCCATGCAACTCTCCCCCACCCCCTGCTCTCCCCTTTCTGCTTCCTGAAGTGCTTTACGGCAGTTCTATGTTTGAAACGTAACCTCCCACCTCACAGCTCCTTGGGCTCTGGCTAGCTTTAGTTCGTATCATGTATGCATAAGGCATTTCTGAGTTTCTCTTTCAGAGATTTTCCAAAATGCTGAGACACACAGCATTGGGGCGTTTGCTTTCCAATCCTTAGAGATTTCCATTACTTTTTTAAAAAGTAACTTTTTAAAACGTCCCCCTCCCCCCATTTTTTGGTAATAAGTATGCATTGGTCTGCAACCTTTTAGGACTTTGTCATGTGGGAAGGTGGTTTCTTATCAATTCGTTTGTCAGACTTTAAGTGGGATACAAGCCAGAAATGAGTGCATTTCCCCCAGCGTGAGTGTCAGAATTCATTGTTAATGTGTGAGTAATCAGGAAAGTTCTCATTCATCAATGACACTAACAGTACACCACTCTTGTGCTCGGCCACGCCCTCTCTGTGGCAGCCTGTCTCCGCGAGCCCCCGTCAAGAGTGCAAAGTGCCTTCCCCCAAGAGGTGCTGGTGCCCAGGTTTCACTAGATGGGGAACCATTCAGGCCATCCTGGAAAAGGATTTGTACCAACATCACTTTCCAGGATTACTTTTCTTTCAAAAGCTTATGAGATCCCTGCAAAACCCTGACTTCTCATTGGGTTTTAGGAAAATGTTCAGTGGGGAAAATCATTAGATGTGTGCTCGTGTAATAAGCATTTACTGTGAGCACCAGCTATATGCTAGGCTGTTTTCTTTCAGGGACTGTTTTAGTGGTTAAAAACATAGATAACATAGTTCCAGATACCCCTGAGGGAAGGGGCAGCACCCCAATAACTCAGGGGTAGTAGTAGCTGAGAGAGGTATGAAGTCCCTGGGACACAGGGGCCGGGGCAAACGGACTGCTCACACTGGAGAAACCTGTATTTATTGAGATTTTAAAGAAGGCGGAGGCTAGGTGTAGGCTGTCGTAGTGGATCGACTTGACCCCAGGCGGATTTGGTGGCTTCGCCAGACAGTGTGTTGTCAAGACTGTAGGTCATTTACAGCAACGGGTTGGGACCAGGCACATCCTGTTTGGTGTTCGAAGTGATCTTTTAAGTGACACATTGGTTGGCCTGCCCTTGAGTGTGAAACGAAAGCCAGGAGAACCCGTGGATGTCGGCTTCCGAGGCATCCCCAATTCTTGGGCTCCTAAAGCGCGCACCATACCAGCCACTCTCCACCTGGGGTGAGACCGAGCGGCGCCTGGGTGCCTTTTCTGGGGCTCTTCTTCCCAGCCTGGTTTTCTCTTTTTCTTCCGTGAAGCTACAGACTAACGTCTTCAGAACCTGCCTGACAAAGGGGCTGGAAAGCAAGCCTGGTGGCACTCCCCGCCTGTCACGGAGCAACCGCTAGAATTAGGCGAGCTGTCTTGCTGTGCTTCAGTGCTCGGCTGCTATACGAGAGAGCAGCAGTTGCAGCTCAGGGGTGGCTCGGCAGAGAAACCCTGACAGGCTGCACCCACCAAGATTACAGCCTAGGAAACCTGACTGAACTATTCTGCTGTCACCTAGGGTCACTGTGACCCTGAACCAGGTGGTATACAGCAACAACCATCTGTGCTTGATTCTTGCCATGGAGAATCATGACAGGACAGTAACTGGCCACGGTTGCAGAGTGGCTAGTGTTTGCTGGGGGTGGAGGACAGGAAAGCATGTGTGGACTCTGGATGAGTTTTTATCTGTTGAAACACTGTTGAAAGGATGTAGTTGCAGTAGAAGGATGTTGGCGCGGTGGTGGAAAGAGAACTGTGGCCTAGAGGACAAGATATATTGGCTCAGTCACATCAATAAGGCTTAGGTTTTATTAGTTGTCAGTTGCCCATTTGTATAGCCAGACTATACATATTAACCTGCCATTCGTTAAGAGTCCGTTTCCATTATACTGTGGAATTGGCAGTGGCTTTGTGTAATTTGAGCATTGAGCAGAGAAAAATGCAGAGTTAAGTATTTCAGTCACTCTAACATTCTTAAATGTGCTAAGTAATGGTATTCCGTTTATAAAGGAAATTTTTCCTCCTTATCTTCATATTAGCCTCAATTTGTTTTCTATCATTTTCACAAAGTTTATATACTTAGAAAAATAGCCTTAAATTTACTCCTCGTTTTTACCGTTGGGGGCATTTGGGCATGCACTTGGTGCTACAGAGATGACCTAGAAAGACATTGTACATAGAAGGCTCATGTCTCTGTTATTCAGCTTTTGAGGCTTGTAGCTCTGCTGGTAGGGGTAAGTCTGAAAGGTTGCTGATTCCTGGAAGTAACTGTTGGACTTTTGCCCAAACAGAGGTAACCACCTCAGGGTCTTGGCAGTTGGGCCCCGGTTGCTTTTTCCTGTGGACCAGAATTGATTTGATGGCAGTGAGAACACAGTATTGAGGAGGTTGAAGTGCAGGGTGCTGAGCGGTGACCCGGCCTTTGATGTTTCACTTTATAGACGTAGTCATTTTATAATGCCTAAGCCAGAATCAGAAGCTCTGGGCGCCCCATGGTTATTGGTTGGACTTCTAACTGTTACTAAGCCAGAAGTTCGAAACTAGCAGCCACCCCTCGGAAGAAAGACGAGGCTTTCTACTCTCTTACAGAGTTACAGTCTCAGAAACCCAAAGGGGGGCAGTTCTACCCTGTCCTATAAGGTCTCTTTGTGTCAGAATCTACTTGATGGCAGGGAGCTTTTTTTTTTCCCTTTGGTTAAGCCAGAGCCAGACCAAACCAGCTGCTACCAAATGGATTCCAACCCATGGGACTGCGTATGTGTCAGAATGGGAACTGCGCTACATGGGGTTTTCAATGCTGTGATCTTTACAGATTGCCAGCCCTTTCTTGCAAGGTACCTTTGAGGAGATGCTCTAATTCCGCATATACTCGTGTATAAGCCGAGTTTTCCCAGCACATTTTTAATGCTGTTTTTATGTTAAAATTAGATGCCTCGGCTGATATTTGGTTCGGCTTATACTCAAGTATATACGGTAGCTTTGTCGTGAGTAGCTGGGTGTTTTAACAGTGTGCATAACCAGGAACCTCCTTATAGCGACTAGATCAGATAAGCCTCTTCAGCACCAGTGCTCTTCCTTCTCCTGTCTAGAAGCCCGTGCGTTTTCTGCTCCTATGCTCCTAGCCTTGTGTTGTTTTTTTTTTAATTAAAAAAAAATTTTTCCCCCTAGCCTTGTATTGTAATGCTTGTCTTGATCCAGGGACCTTGTGAGACTGAGAGATTAAATAGCTTAGTCAAACCCCAGTGTTAGGGA